CTGAAGGATATATGAATCCTTTTGAAGACTGTGTTCTATGATCAATGAAAGAAGCCAGTATGAACTTCTGTGTGTGAAAACTAAGGCAGTTTGTGTGGAGACACTGTTAGCAAGACTAAAAAATCAAGCCAAAACCTGATACAGGAGCATCCCAGAGAATGAAAGGCTGATTGATTAGTGATGCTGAAGTGTAAAATTCTAGCATGCACAATTCTATCTGCTGTGATTGAACCATCTGTAATTGGTACCAAGGGTCCCAAAATGTCATAATTAGGTCAACCAACTTCAGTGTTAATACAGAGATACGTCTCCATTGCTGCATCATGCTTCATTATAATATCACATGCCATAGCAATATGCCTAGGTGCACTGGGAAGATGGTATATTCTGAACAGGACAGGCACCAGTGAAATTAAACTGCACGCTGTATCACAAAATACATCCCAATGGGTGCAGCTGATACGGTGTGAATCAGTCATCTATTTTATGCAGATTTATTGTATTTAATTGGCATTTGAGTATCAAACACTCTGTTTTCTGACTGAGTAGGTTTTCTTTCAGTGTTTATAACCTATTAGCTATGCAGTATCCTGAGACTTTGCAATCCACGTTATTGCCCGGGGGCAGGAAGGTGCCACGGTTCCCTTCTGTGTATGGGGAGAATCGACAGCGGATCAACGCAGGTAGACGTCACGGGGGAGAAGCCCTTTCCAGGCTTAAATACTAAAGCAACTTTACTGGTTACTACACGTGAAAGTTTGATATCAAACATCTTCCCACTCAAGTTCTGTGCTGTGGAGTAATTGTAGCAGGTCTGCGCTAAATAAATTGAAGAGGCTGAAGTGCTCAGCTGTTGCAGTAATGGAGGTCACGTGTGTTCCTACCTGATCATTGAAACAAACATTCTGACTGAGACAAATTTGGAGAAATCATTATTTGCCGTGCTAAAAGACAGACAGACAAATGTGATTTTAACAGTAAAGCCACTTAATCAGCAGAACAAGTGAGGTGGTAGGTTTTCCATCATTAGAGTCTGTACAGTCAAGACATGCTGGTTCAAGTGAGGTGGGGATTAACTGTGTGTGAAGCAGGTTAATGCAGGGAAGTGCTATAATCTCTGTGATACAGGAGGATAGAGTTGATGATGACTTTATTCTCTTCTGGCATTAGTCCATAGGTCTTTTGGGGATAAACTCAAGCCTCTCAAGTAGAAAGGCAGAGAATTCTGCATCGTGGGCAGATGAATTAACGGTCTGCATGTAACACAAATTGTTCTGAGACATCTAGTGAAATTAAATTTTCAGGTGGATGGATTTTCCCCTCCATTTCAATTTCAGGTAAATATCTAGGTGTGTTACTTTGAAGACTGACTGTAGGGGTCTGCAGGGTGCAGGAAGCAATACATCCATGCTTTTTATCACATCCCAGTTTGGTAGCTGGTGCATCCTGGTCAGAGAGACACATTAAATGTAGCATATAAATCATTGGCTGAACTTCTATTTCATTAGAAAGATCACGGTTCAATATATCTTTCTCAATGTTGCATTGGTCCTGCATCACCAAGTATTTATATTAGATGAAAAATCTCAAATTTCTCAAATCCTGTCTTTTCCTGTGAGGAGCAGGTGCTGAATGTATACAGCAAGAACTCTATAAAGCTGTCCAGAAAGGTAAGTGGTGTGCAGGATGTTATAAGAGCGTAGGAGATTATCAGCCGTTGGGAGCCACTGGAGAATATGGCTGTGGGGGCAGAGACTTCTGGTGTTCCTTGAGACATCCTGGAGTTTCATTTCCCTTTTTCTGTATTTTGGACATCTTGCGCTGCTACCTAAGCCTAGAGAGCTACCTTACCTTAGCCCCGTGGCCATAGACCTCAGGCAATTGCTGGGGCTCCTTGGTGTAACCAGTCTCTCTGTACCTATGCAGAAAAGGAGCTTGAAAATTCATTGGCTTGTGCATAAAAACGTGGCATGGCAAAATGGCAGTTGCCAGGAGAGGTCACTATGGAGGTGCCTGGGGCCAGGAGCCTCTTACTCGTAGAAGAATAATGTATAATAATTATTATTATACAGCTATAATAATCCTCCACAGTAACGATGTACATTCCTTGACAAGCTAAGAAACTTAATGAAACGATACCTTTGTTGGGAGACTCCTCTGTTCTGCTGATCACAAATTTTTCCCAGTTCCTGAAACTGCTGGAGTCCTACAAACTCTATTGCTGCAAATTTTCAGGCACCGAGATGCCAGTTCATAGTGATGTGGTATGAATCACAAGTACTGGGACAGAAAGAAAACTTTGGAATGTCCAGCTGTGAGCTGCTGCAAATCTCCTTTACAAAAGAAAAAAATAATAATTAAACAGGTGTTTAGAAAAGTTGAAATTGGACCTTTAAGCACAGAAGGAGCGACACAAAGAAAAAGATGTTTTGAAGTATTTTCCCAAAACTAAACAAAGGCAGGATTTCAGTTTTAAGTGCACAAGACAGCAGGAAGGCTGGATAATGGATATTTAGAGCTTAGTAATGGGCAACACTTAATCTAAGGTAGAACTAAAACCAGAAGAATCTGTCTTGATCAAGCTGATGAGATCAGGGAATATGGAAGAATAGGACCAAATTACTGGAAAGAACTGTCAAGTGCAAGGTCTAACAGCAAGGATTTTAACCAGACTTCTCAAACTGGAGATATATGTAATGGTAGTGGGACAGTATATGCATACTTTTAGAATCATAGAATGGTTTGGGTTGGAAGGGACCTCAAAGATCATCTAGTTCCAACCCCCTGCCATGGGCAGGGACACCTTCCACTAGATCAGGTTGCTCAAAGCCATGTCCAACCTGGACTTGAATACTTCCAGGGATGGAGCACCCACAACTCCTCTGGGCAACCTGTTCCAGTGCCTCACCACCCTCCTGGTGAAGTATTTCTTCCTTAGATCTAATCTAAATCTCCCCTCTTTCAGTTTAAATCCATTGCCCCTTGTCCTATCCCTACATGCCCTTGCAAAAAGTCCCTCTCCAGCTTTCCTGTAGGGCCCTTTTAAGTAATGGAAGGCTGCAATAAGATCTTCTCAGAACAAGCTCAACTCTCTCAGCCTGTCTTCATAGCAGAGGTGTTCTAGCCCTCGGATCATCTTTGTGGCCCTCCTCTGGACTCGCTCCAACAGCTCCATGTCCTTGTGCTGGGGACTCCAGAGCTGAATGCAATATTCCAGGTGGGGTCTCACAAGAGCAGAGTAGAGGGGCAGAATCACCTCCCTCGACCTGCTGGCCACGCTTCTTTGGATGCAGCCCAGGATACAGTTGGCTTTCTGGGCTGCCAGTGCACATTGCCGGCTCATGTTGGGCTTCTCATCCACCAGCACTCCCAAGTCCTTTTCCTCAGGGCTGCTCTCAATCCATTCTCTGCCCAGCCTGTATTTGTGCTTGAGATTGCCCTTTCCCTTAAAAAAGGGAGAAAACACATCTTAGCTAACTACAGACATTTAATATATCCATGTAATTAGAATTCAGGATGTATTTTGAAGAAAAGGGTAAAAAAATATGTGGAAGATAATAGAAAATGAGATAAATAGGCATTTTATTAAATTTAAGTCATGCCAGACTAACCTGACAGGACCCTGATAAAGTAAAGAAGTATTTTTACACAAGGAAAATGTAGCAGACTTATTACGGCATTTAGAATAGTGCTACCTGGAAACCATTACTCAAGTGGGAGATGTTGGGGATTAACACAAGAACCACAGGAAATGACAGACAGAAGTGTCTGACTTTGCTCACAAACATTGTAGAATATGACAGTCCCTTCAAAGGAAGAGAAAAAAAACTTCTTGTATAGAGTAGTGTGGTCAATAAATCTAACTGGAGTCTGATGAGTACCTGGCTGGGATTATGTCCTGAGTGCTGGAGATTGCAGGATGATTTCAGAAGATATATCCAAAGTCAGACAAGGTGAGACTTGGCCACTGGATAGAGCCAGGGGAGTCTAAGCACCAAAGAAGTGCACTTTGTAATAGGATTTTATAGTTAATGCAGTGAATCTGTGGTTCAGCTCCGCTTCCTCAGCCATTTTCAACTCTATTCAATCCTTTTCATGCCTTCTTGTCCCACACCTAAGGATGTATTTAGCATGTCCAGATCCCATGGACTCTGCTGACGCGGTACGTGGTTCATTATGTTCATAACTCTTGGCATGACCACGACCTTAGTGCCCTACTTTAGAGACAACGTTTCTTCTGAATGATTGAAATAAAATAAAACAAAGGACTAACCTTTAAGAGACTTCTTCAGCTAGAGGGAGGGAGGGAGGACGTTTTTTACATTGACCTAACTTGTGAGCATCTGGTCACAAACATACTGAGGAGAGTCTTTCAAAACCAGTTTCCAGTGGTGTCTCCCTCTTTTGTTTCCTGGCCAGGCGCATGTTCCCTGTTTTGAAGATCAGCGTGTCAGGCTTGGACCCAAACGCCATGTATTCCTTCCTGCTGGACTTTGCCCCAACTGATGGCCACCGCTGGAAGTATGTCAACGGAGAATGGGTACCGGCTGGGAAACCAGAGCCACCAAACCACAGCTGCGTCTACATCCACCCAGACTCTCCCAACTTTGGGGCCCATTGGATGAAAGCTGCCATTTCCTTCAGCAAAGTCAAACTTACCAACAAGCTCAATGGGAGTGGGCAGGTATGGCATGATGTTTCCCCATACACCTCTTGGCTTCAATCGCAAGCACCTACCAATCAAGAAATATCAAGGGTGCATTTATGTAATTATAGAGGCCCTTACAGGCCTCTTCACCCACAGATGCCAATTATTCTCCGGAGGCCAAATGTAAACAGGAATAAACAGGCCTTAATTGGCGCTTTCAGATTTTAATGGACTTCTTGATGTTAAGAGAGACAGAGTGCTGTGGTTTACTTAATCATCAGGGGGCTTTTCAGAGTTGGTCTTGTGTGCTGGGGATTTTTACATAGGACTTCAGAGAAGGGGGAAAAAATGGTCACGGGTATTAGGTTTTTGTTGTGTTCCCCCATGTTGTTTGGTGTAAGTGGAATGTTGGCAGGAGTCAGATAGCAGAATAAAAGGCTGCTCCTAAATGAAATAATTACTATGTCTGCTTCTGCATCATGATAATTATCAATATTCTATTGAATCAGCTTTGGCCTTTGGAAAGAAACCACATGTACCAGAAATAAGTGACTTTCTCTTTGAACCCCTTAAAAATGCAAACAGGAAAATTAGTTTTGTTTCGTGTTTTATTTTTGATGATGCATCTAAAGGTAAAATGTTGCACAAGACCTTTTGTTTGCTTGTTTGTTTTGTACAAAACTCCTACATTGGATGATACTTGTCAGCCCAGAATCAATTTCTTTCATGTAAATGTTACACATTCTCCATCTGTTATTTCCATTAGGTTTGCGAGTTACCTCCATAGCCTAGTACCCTAATTAGGTAGGAAATTATCTCAATTTGTACAGACTGGAGAACAGAAAGATGACCTGACTTTTCCCAAGTCACACATGGAATCAGCACACAAGATTTTTTGTGGAGCATAGAATGGGATCTGAATTTGCAAAATCTTGTCCTGCATCCAAGACCTCAGAAGAGTATGCAGGGGGGTAAAAAGCTACAGGAAACCAACTTGGAGGGTAAAAGAGACACTGGGGAAAAAACAAGGGAACACGATACATTTATATGGTGAAGTGGAGAGGAAGGAAAGTAGAAAGGGAGGAAAAGCCAAATGAGAAACAGACCCCAAACAAAAGTCTCTAAATAACAAACAACTGAAGCTCTCCTTGTTTTCTTTTGATGACAGTGTTAAGGTAAACCATGTCCCCACTTTGTGCTTCAGCTTCCCCTTCTGTGGTGTTATTAGAAAGGAATAGCTAACTAGCAGTGCTTTATGCTAATGGCAGTTGCCCAAGTACAGATCTCTTAAAAAAATATCTTTTTCTTGCAGTAGAGAGAATTAAGCAATATAATAGACTTCCTGAGGAAGGTGTGTTATGGAATCAACACTATTCACAGCTTTTAATGCCAGGTTAGAGACATCTGCCAAGGCTTGTTTAGGTATACTTCACCTTGCCCAGAAAGATGACTAGGTGACTCCCTCAGCTCCCTCCTGGCCCTAATTTCTGTGATGGCTTCCAGACAGTAGAAGCAGGACAGGGATTGCCCCTTAACTGCTTCAACAGCCTCTAGTGCAGTGGAAGCCCAATGGTTTGAAGGCCGTAGCTGCTAACACAAACATTCACTAATGCTTCTCTATCGAAAACTTTAGATCCAAGTCCAGTAAGTCTCAGTCTGTTCAGCCCTGTGGTTCATCAGAAGGGAGGAAAGCACCTGCCCTTCTACTCTCAATAATCACTGACTGGGGAGGTTTAGCAGTGACATCTGGTCTATTATAGACCCAGAGCAAAAGAGCAGCTGTGGGATACCAGAGTGGCATTGGGCTCTGTCTGTCTTGTTTTGTTTTCTGCAGATAATGTTGAACTCCCTGCATAAATATGAGCCCCAGGTACACATAGTTCGCGTCGGAGGCCCCCACCGGATGGTGATGAACTGCTCCTTCCCTGAGACGCAGTTCATAGCTGTGACTGCCTATCAAAACGAAGAGGTAGGCGGATGCCATGCTGTGCTCTTGGTCATGACTGATGAGATACATTAACAGCTTATTGGCTACGAGATCAGCACGGACAGACGGGTCCTTTTCTTGCTCCGCCACGGGTCCCATGCAGTGTAATGCTCCATCCAGTCTAACACTTCACCTTCTCTCTGCAGCACAACATTGTCTAATCCAGTGTCTGGCTGCAGTACTAAGCCAGGTTTAGCTTAATATCCTGCCATGGCTATTCCAGACTGGTCCATCTGTCCTGGAACCCCAAATCCTTACTGGAAAAAAAAATATTTTCAAGTCCAATATCTTTCTCCAGCAGTTACTGATAGTTATAATGATAACCTTACCTTCTCCGCACTCCTTCTAATACATACAATTCCAGAACAGTACAACATTCCATGGGAAAATTTCTTCCCAACATCAAAATTGTACTTGAGGGACGTTTTGGATGGTGACAATTGCTAACTCACGTGCCATATCACTTAGCTAGTGTTGCTGTAGATTCGATTCATATTTGGTAGGAATTCCATGTTTAAACTCTCTTGAAAGGGCTCACTATCCCACAGGATTTCCCAGACCAGACCGCAACGTTACGCTGCCACAACTGGTGTTCTGCCTGTGGCACTGATCAATACACAGCACCCTGCAACAAGCTAAGCTCTCTCACAGCCATCCCTGGGAAACATCATGTGTGGGCATGTATTTTGTTGGGATAACCAAGGCTGTTCCACTTAGATTACTCTGGAAGATGTTTTGTCAAGTCTCTATTACAAATTGCTTTCACTAACATGCCTTATTTTCTGTAAACTCAAGATAACAGCTCTCAAAATCAAGTATAATCCCTTTGCCAAAGCCTTCCTGGATGCAAAAGAAAGGTGAGTTCATCTTTTTTTTTTTTTCACTCCAGTATCATTTTGCTGCTGAAAACATTTAAAACTGTGGCATCACAATGTGAAAGATAAATTATATAACTTAATCTTGTTTCTGCTGTCTTAAATCTAGGGTCACCCCACTGAAATTAGTGGGGAGACTCTCTATATCATTATTACCACAGTAGGGTCTGAAGTGGGTGAGTATCCTCTTGGGAATCCTAGGATTTAGCACTGCGTACACAAGAAGCCTGAAATGAGATGGTGTGAATTTCCCCAGTGATGTCATACACCACGCGTGTTCACTACGTTGTCCTTACACTCCAGTGAATCTCATAATTTGATAGTTTGGGGATAATAAAAGTTAACCGCTGATGTAAAAAGCATAACTAAAGTGAAATTGCACAGTAACTGCAACATAAGTGTGTTGCTATTATTAACCCTGTGTGATAATGTGTGATGTGTTTATTTAAAGCAACCAGTAGGTGCTCACTAGGTAGCATATTAGAGATGCTTCCATCGGAAACAAACTGTGGTTTATCTTCCAAAGTTTTACTTGCATCATCCATGCTAATGCAGTGGGGCATCCAAGCGATGCATTCCAGTCCATAATTGCTAATAAATTTTGTTTGTACCTGCTATGTCCTGTGACATGCAAAGTGTCCCACATGCCTGCGGGAGAATCTGTATTTCCATCCCTCTCGCCGCCTGAGAAGCTGCTGTGTCTCAGCGTCAGGGTTCCCAGCTGCGGAGAGGGAATGCTGCCTTCGGCTCGCCTGGCTGAGCAGGAGGCAGAGCCCTGCCTTGGTCTGGGCAGGAGGCCAGGCTCAGGCTGTTGGTGCCAGCAGGAACGGTGCCCACAGGTAGACTTAGAATTCCAGGTTCAGCCCCCAAACTTGGCACAAACTTAGGAACACTTTTAAGCGTGCCACAAAACATAAGTTCCTGCCTCCTTTATGCAGAAAAGTCTACTGCTGTCTAGCAAGTGATTAAAGAAGACGGATTTCTCTCCTTTTTAACTTACTTTTCCTTTTTTTTTTTTACTGAATTGTTCTGGTTTTAACTTTCTTTTGTAATTTCTCAATGAAAAGTTCTGCCACTAAGTATTTTGCTTTTCAGAAACCATCCCAAGGATGCTCCAGAAACAGTCTCTGAAGGTCAACATATGACATACTCTCACTGTAAGGTTTTTATTCATGTCAGCTGGAAGTTTTGTGTGATATGATACGTGCTGGGAGTCTGGGGTTTGATTAACTGGATCATATCACTCACTCACTGAGTCCTGAATTGTGTTCATAGAAAGGGACCCTTTAAAAAAGAAAAAAAAGAAGAAACCTCACAGTAGGAAATAATGTGACAGCTTCTGCAGAGGGATCATTGTCCTTATGATCCAATTTTTCAATATTAGAAGGAATCTAAAATCAAGATGAGATACGGCATTTTTAGGGCTTTCTCTCCTTTTTTTTGTGTATTTTTAACTATGAACTTTTTTGTCACCTAAAAAATTACCATTTATTGGTGAACAGATAGAAAAAAAAAAGGGGGGGTGCAGAGGTTGTGTTTGTTTTAATGATGGTCAGTTTTTCTTTCATTTGTTCTTCGATGTTTGTGACATTTTCTGTTAGTTGTTTTTAGGTCTTGTTTTTAGGATTGGTGGTTTTGAGTTTTTTTTGGTGTTTTTTTTTTGTGGTTTTTTCAATCATCAATTATTTCACAAACTAGTATCTTGGAAACAGCTTGGTATTTCTGAGGCCCAGCTGATTCTGCAGGAAGGCTGGTTGCTTTATCGTACTGCAATACACTGCAGTGGTTTAGTGCAATCATAGCTTTCTTCTGTCTTTCCCTTCGAAGTGGGTGGCTGGTTGATTTCCAACCCGGACACAATGTGTGCATCAGGAAGCTCTAATTATCAGTATACTGGACCTTTGCCTCTGCCAGCTCCACACACTCCCCATGGCTGCGAGCGATACTCAGCACTGCGAGGGCATCGGGCTGCTCCGTACCCACCGTCCTACATGCAGAGAAATCATTCACCGACAGGTACAACTGCCATGCTGCTTTGCTCCCAGGGAACGGACACCCTCTGTGTGACGAGCCCTGCTTTAGGTTAGCGTAAGCTCGGAAACAAGCAAGAGCTGAGGCTAGGAAAGAGCATGATGAGTCTGTAACAATCTGCACCAAACTCTGCATGTGCAAAGTACGTTTAAGGCAACAAAATAAGAGCTGCAAAGAGCTGGGTGCACTGTAACTGTTAATTAAAAATGAGAGTGAATGATCCTGCTTTATTAAAGTACAGCTCCTAATTATATCAAAAGAGCATTGCAAGCCTCCTTTCACCGTCATGCCATGACGCAGTTGTGTGCTCAAGTCAAAGCAGCCCTTAGGAACACGGTAGGACCTGACTTGAGATGAGGGCATTTTGGTATTGCCAGAATGTCTTTTGAGTTCCCTTCACCCTATAGATCTGGTTGCAGATTTCCAGAAATTGATTCTGCTTTGATCAGAGGAAATTGGCCAGAAACAAGAGTAAGGATAAAGTAATCTTCTTGCTAATTATAATTTAGCAAGGCATCCTGTTTAATGGAAATATTTAAGCTTAAGTTAAAAGAAAATCTGTATCAAAACACTGCCAGTCATACAGCAATTATCATTAATGAAAAGACTACTAGTCAGACTTGCAAAGATACATATCCTATGTCTATCATGCTGTACCTTCTCATATATCACACCTGGAATTACAATGGCATCTTGCTACTCTCTTAATAAACATGTGAATCTTGTCCTTATTCGTCCCTGCCCATGGCAGGGGGGTTGGAACTAGATGATCTTTGAGGTCCCTTCCAACCCAAACCATTCTATGATTCCATACCTGTGGTTAGGAACCTCATGATCAGATTGCCCCCTCAGGCCTACCATGTTCTGTTGCCTTAAGACAATGTCTCTGTAACAGTCACTGAGGATTTGTTTCTTGCTTTTTTTCTGCCCAAAGTTAATTTGCTGGAGAGCTCCAGCAATAATCTTCAGGTATTCTCAGGACATGACAGCTGGACTTTGCCATCCTCTCCACATAGTAATTTGCTCTCGGTGCCACACACAAAGGGAGCTGCCAGCCCTGGACCCAGGTAAGCTTATGGAGAAAACTGCTGGTATTAGGAGCAGTGAGGCTTGTAGGACTGCCCTGGTGATTCACACTTTGTTCCAAGCTTTAATCAGTGTCCAGGATTTGAAACACGTCCTATGTGCCCAACTTGAGATTCCTGCACAGATCTTGCCGACAAGCTAATTATCTCCTGCTCCGAAATCAATGGGAGCTTCATTTTTCCCCAGCACTGCTGAAAACCGGGATCTTGGAACAGCCACCGAGAACTCTGGTATCTACAATCTGTGAGCGTTTTAAAGCCAAATTATTTTTCTCTGTATATTCCTCCTTATTTTCCTGTGTGAAATGAGGATTCGACTCCCATGCAGGGATATAACAATTTAATTAATGTTCTATTATAAAAATATTGTTAATAGGGTAGTAAACAGTGCTAGGAATGGCTGGAATTTAGACTTAGAGAGTCAATTATCAAGTATTTTTCCTCCTTTTCACAAAATAAATACACACATTTCTTCTTTAGTTTAGGTACCAGGAAAATCGGCTGTGATTCTTTAAAATGCGTAAGCATTCATGAAAAAGATCTTTAAATCTTGAAACCTCATATGTATATTTGTACATTTCTCTCCAGTCCTCTCTCCAAGGTCACTGGGGTCTGATGGTCGCGGATGGTTTTTCACTTAAGATCTGGAAGGCTGATCTAGCTCAGTAACTCGATTCGGATAGCTGCCTTTTAGCAGATGACGCACTTGACTTTACTGCCGTAAGTCTTGTGCAGGGGAAAATGCTTTGAAATAAGTCATTCAATTTGTACTGCTTTTTTTTCCAGCCACTATCCTTGCCTGTGGACAGTGAGCAACAGTGCCGTAAACGTTGCCAACCCAGGAAGCGAGGTGAACAGCAGCCACTCAAGCATGTTTTTAAGGGGTAACGTCCCCTTACCCACTGCATCATCAGTCCAAATCCCTCTGCAGGGAACGCTGCCCGGCAGCATGGAAACGCAAGGGGAAACCGCTCTAGCCAGACTAGCCGACTCCGCGTGGACATCCTCACACTCCTTTTAATGGACAGGCAGCTCACGCGGGAAGCTCAGCCTAACAAGTGACACAAATTGCAAACGATCCTCTAGAACTGCAGCTCAGAGCAGGGATGTGTATGCAGAACACCAACTTCATCCAACATCACTTTCCATCATGTAAAAGTCAAATGCATAATGCAAAGGCAGGAAATGTTACGGGAACCGGCTCATTACTGTAACCTTTATTTGTCATTCAGGATAATGTCCAGAAAGAATCTTTATAGTTAGTTTTGCTTCTGTATCACATACAAAACGGTCAGAGACATGGGACTAAGTGACGCAGATACAGCAGCTGGATATTTTCGTGTCATTTCAAGTCTTTTCTGTAACTAACGGCCGAGTCCAGGGGCAATCGTGAGCAAGTTCGCAACTGGTAATTTGAAGAGACAGCGCTGCTTGAAAGACTTTCTGCACGTGAAGGTTTTCACAATATCTGAAACTAAACCCTTTGGGGGATCAAATTAGTCTGACACCCTAATGCCAGCTGCACACAGTATTCTCTGTCCCCTTCCCTTCTCCAGCTCCTGTTTGCTGTTTGTGTGCTGTAGGGATAATGGACAGACTCAAGCTGAGGAAGTGGCTGCATTGTAGCAGCAGAGTGAAGGGCATCTAGTTTAGCATTTACAGTCGGATGTGTGACGGTCTTTGAAAGGAAAAGTTCCAATGTCTTCTATATGTACTATATTTGAAAGGATGGAGGGAAAAGAATTACAGAAAAAAGATTCAGCTTGCATTTCCACTTTGCTTCAGGTATAGAGTACAAATAAAACATGAATAAATGGTGTATTATCTCCTCAGTGCCTTTCCAAGGTGTAAACACACACACAGTCTTTTTCACCTAACAGCCTCTGAGCAATCTAAAGCACCTCTGCCAGAAGCAAGTTGACAGGACAGGAATTCTCTATTCCTTGGCCAGTGACTGGCTGTATGCTCTTGAGCATGGTATTTCATGGTTTTCTACCTGTTTTCCCTCTCACCTTTTGTCTGTTTCAGCTTCCTTTTTCAGGCCACAGCTTTTCCTATCGTGTGCAAGTGTAAAATGTCTAGCACAGTGGAGGCCTGATCTTGTCTGGGATTTCTAACCACCAGTGTGATGCAGATAATAAGTCGTCCCCCAATCTTCCTTGTCCTCTCACGTACCTCCTTGGGCAAGCCCTATTAACCTCTCAGAGAAGAGTGCTTCCATTTGATCTCCTGTAGGGGTAAATAAAAAATTGCAAGCTAATTCATGTAGATATATCTCTGTATAATGAAATGTCCAGCAGCAATTCAGTTCTGTTTGCAGTCATGAGCATTGATAGGGGCTGGATCGATAGTCCTCGAAGAGGAAATCCTCAGCATAGGTAGAGAAGAGGATTCTCCAAAGCTCCTGTGAGCTGGTGTTTCTGCTTCTGCCAGATACAGCAACATTCCCTTTGTGAATACTCATTTATTGCACACAGGCTCTGGCAGCAGCGTTTTATTTTGGGTAGACATTAGGGGCAGCAGCAAGGAGAACATTTTTGT